ATTGTATAATGTACAAAACATTGATACAATTTGATGAATATTTACAGCTATGGCTTCAATACCGGAGACGATTTTGGCCCGATCGTCAACAAAACATCACCTGTCTCCAGGGCAGGCGACTGGAAAAAGACACCGGTGTTCGGTCGAACCGGTGGAAACAAAATCGTCACTCCCAGAATAACTATGCAAAATAAGGATCGAACCATTCGAGCCACAATATTAACATAAAAATGACTTTCGTTGCATTTTACAATGATAAACTTACCGAAAAGCCGTGTCATTCCCCGGTTGTCATTCTCGGTCGCTAACGTCTGTATAATCCGCCATTTTATTTGAGTCTGTTTGCTACCTGACGTCATCATGTGCACTATAGAATGAGGTCTGTGATTCGTTGACTAAAATCGTCGATAGTGGGTCTCGTTGAAATCTCGTTACATAGGCATCGGCTCAGATGTAGGTAGGGCGGAATTAAAAAAATCACAAAATCAAAGTAAAATAATAAAATAAAAGGGCATTAATAACAAATATAATAAAAAATAAAATAAAAATAAGTTTAGAGCCAAAATAATTAAAGCCCCGTACACTACATCAGATTTTAATCGGATTGCTTTGTGTACTGCTGACTGAATCAAATTTCTCCATATGAGAAAACAAGGAGTACAGATTTCTCTGTTTAACTGTATATAGTGGACATTGTGTGATAATGAATATATCTATGCCTCCCAAATAGTATTGCTGAAGTTCCCTTATTTACCGGTATCAAACATTGACATAAGCATGCCTCTTTGCCCATTCCAATTACTAAATACATGAATATATATAGTATTTTGCTCTATAAGAGTAATGAATCCACTTCTGTTATATCCATGGGGCATACATTAGGTTGACTATGATTCAAAACTTGTGTATTTCCATTGAAAATGTATATTTGTAATAGATAGTAATGTGGTGGAAACATCTTGTATATACATAGTTTAGTAATACGTACATTTGTACATCTCTGTTTTGACTGACTATATCGTAGTCAACAGTAAATGCATTAAACTGGTATTCTTTTATAGGGCTATCAATGGTGTGCAGTATATTTGAAGTAAAGACAATTGGTGTCAAGATTATTTTGTTGCAAGCAAACTAATATTTTGGTAATTTTTAACTTTCTCAGCAGGGAAAATGGGTTAATGTCGGCGGACAATGGAAGGCACGACGACAGTCTTCGATTGATAAATTCGGGGTATTTCTTTCTCTTCTTCTTATTCTCATCTTTCCACTTCCACTGTGATGCTTTTACAAATATTTCTGTTGCAGTCATGGATGCTTTTGCTGCGTGTTGTTGCCATGGTGATTTCAGTTGCTATAAATATCATGCCTACTGTAGCTAAATAGACAGTATTGAAAAACAGCTGCTGCAATTTATTTCATATTGCGTATATTATATTATGTTTTTATCCGTATGTTACTGAACATATCCGATAATATCACAATATTATGCTGCATTGGACCTCGAACAGTTCCTATTCAGAACGTTTACATTCATGCAATTCTCAGTTTTGTTGGAGTCTGCATTCATGGCTTTATTTTTGTGATCACACCAACTGCTTTCCCAGAGTTATTACATCTTAAATTGCACTCTGAGATTATTCGTACTTTGTTAAGCGTATTGGAACTATTATGTGAAATATTAGTTTTTTAAATTTGTGCAAATTGTGGCATATATAAACTTGTAATTTTGAATGACATTTAGCATGTCCACAGTCCCTCTACAGAGACTGTGGCATGTCTGAATGTTGGTGTTAGTCATTTGATATTTTGAAACATGTTTTGCCTCACAAAGACTTGCCTCTATTCTGCAGTAGTTTAGGACATCGATAATTCCAGGGAATCCTGAAAAAAAAATGCTCAGTTTGAGGATTCCAATAAAGATTTAGGAATAATCCCAGAGTGCAACTGTAAAGGGCATCTGTGTTCAAATATGACTAAAGTTTTACATCTCATGAGTGACTGTATATTTAAGCGTTCATTTGTGGCGATAATCACTCAGTTCCGTATGTTGCATATTTCCCTGCGTCACTATGAATGGAAGATTATGTGACATAGTGCATGTAGATGAGTCCACTATTAACACATGGTCTGCTGAAAATCACCACTCATAGCATAGCCAATAATAATGATATATTATGGTGTCAGCTGACAATATGTTATGGACAGAACTATCTTTATAATATACATGTACTATACTATACCATGAATATACCAAGTGTCACTCTATATAAAAATAACATGTTCATTGGGTGCTGCTTAATTGAATGTCAGTGAGAAATAGGTCAATTTTTATGTGGCAGTTAATAGCTCCTAAAATAGTTAGCGATTGCCAGCACTGATATGCATGCAGCGTGGCAGTGGGTCATTATTTGGATCTAGAATGAAGGTGGCACTTCTCACCTCGTCTCTACTAGGTAATTTTTAAAACTGCAGAGGGAGGCTGAATCTGGCTGGACTTGAGTGTAGCAATGAATTTGTGCCATGATCAAATATCTCCTTAATAATGTATTTTTAGATATTTTGATATGAATGCTAGTAACATAAGTCTACTTGCTATTCACTCAAAACAGATTATTTCTGGTTGTTAATGTTTACTGGATTAAGATTTTAATTATTTATATAAGGATTTATAAGGTGAGGGTATGCAACTGGTGGTGTATGCATTGAAAATACAAAATCACAAGAATCATCAATTTCCAGAAATACTAAATTAATGCAAATGCAGCTTTTATCTCAGACTGCATTTGGTGTCTTTGTATGCTTATTTATAAAGTGTGTATTACAGGTGGTTTGTCTCTTTAAACATGCCAATAATATCTCATTTATGTTAGTGCAATCAAACGTCCACTGCATTTTGTAATACTACTGATAAAAATATGACACCCTACATTACAAATCACTGTACCTAAAAATAGGATTTGCTTACCTTTTATAAATATTATCTTTACGATATATTTTAATTATTGTCAGTATTGTACCTTTAGATTTTCCTAATGACAAGTGGATTTGATTGATTGATTTACTAGTCGACTAGACTGGGTTATGTAAACCCCATTTATCACCACCTATCAGATGTTTGTCATGTCTATACAGGCGTGTCAGTCCAGGTACCTAATGGTACAAGTTATTGCATGGAGCAATTCTCCTTAAAGTTGCATTGCCAATCAGTAAAATCTGTAAAGAAAAAAAAAATAAACTCGCCCTGTATGCATTATGCAAAGGATTTGGATGTTGCACATGAAATCAACTCCAACAGAATCCTGAAATCATATTTAGAAACACTATGTAAAGCAACCTTGAGTGATTACAACTATGACAATTATAGTCAGCAGTGTGGCGATCAGGTCTCGCCCACTCATAGCAATGGCCAATGCAACCTTGTACTGCCTGAGTGCATACTTGGAGATATTCGTATTATAAACTTATTATTAATATGATACAATTGCTGATAAATTGGTTTAATATGGAGTGGCAAATTCTGTTGTTTTTAGTGCTAAATGTATAATAATGAACTTTAGTTATAATCAGTAATGTACTTGCCGATTCAGGTCTGTCATATGAAGGGTCAACTCAATGAAATTTACAAAAGAAATTAATTGCCTATTTATAAGGGATTTGCCAATACATGGTTTAACCAGGGTAGTGAGTATGGCATGTGTAGGTAAATAACTACTCTAGATTTGGAATCTAAAAACATTCCCTGGAATTATAACTCGATCTTCAAATTGCAATGAAATCAGATTTTAAACGGGTCCTTACTTCTTTTTGCATACCCGTCATTCAATAAATATTGAGCAGATATACAAGACCTCCACATTGAAAACAGAGTCTGCATACATCGTAGGTAAACATGGTATTTCAAAAAAAGTTTCATTTATTTTACACTACGGGATTAAGAGAAAATGTATATGGCAACATATTACTACACACTTACTATATATAAATTCACCAACCAATATCACAACAAACATGGTTGGTTTTACTCTATATACTCTCAATGGTATGCTAATATAAAATTAGGTTGGTCTAAACTTGAACTGACTGTCCAAAGATGTATACTGCCCTCTATGTTGAAGCAATCTCATAGACTGGAGAATTTCATGATGTGCTTTTTTCATCCATGGGTGGAATCTCATTTTTAAAATAATTCACATACAACTAAACATTTCCTTCCAGTTAACCCATCAATGATTACGACACATGGTGTCATCCAGAAAGATTGAATTATTCTTACTATTGTTTATTTTTCTGTACTTAGCTTGAGACTATACTGGAGTGTATGCATCTGAATAAAGATCAATTGAAAAGTGTCAAAGATAGACTACATATAGAGATGATGAAAGGTCTTGGTAAAGCTAGTCATGCTAATGCTAGAGTTAAGATGTATCCAACATATGTGAGATCTACTCCCGATGGTACAGGTGAGAATCAGAGATTTTAGCTGTTCATACATTGTACTAATTGACAAACGCACATATTTTTCAGGTATTTTCACGTTTAATTTTATGATTGTCATTTTTTTAAGTAAGGATACCTCGGCGTCATGCTCCCTATGAAAGATTAAGATTTGGATATTGAACTATGAAAAAGAAATTCAAGTTAAAAATTAAGTCATTCAAAATATTTTGGATTCAAACTTGGTACCTATATGTAAAGAACTTTGTCTATCATTTTCAAAATTGGTAACCATGAATATGTCAGTAACAATATAACGTGATTTATATATTTTAGAGAGAGGTGATTTTCTCGCCCTGGATCTTGGTGGCAGTAACTTCCGTGTGTTGTACATTAAGATTGGTGAAAAAGTAGAACAATTCAGTGAAGTTTACAAGCTAACCAAAGAGCTGATGGAAGGCACTGGTGAAAAGGTGAGAATTAATGAAGATTACTTTATTTTCGCTTGGAATTAATTTTCGCTATTTTCGCTGAAGGAATAATTCAGTGAAAATAAAATCCAACGAATATACCTTTTTTCCTATATTTTACATTCAGTGAAAATAAAATCCATACAAAACACTCAAAAAGTCTATTCAGCGAAAATCAATTCCAGCTAAAATAAAGTATTTCACAGTATTCTTTATTTATTGACTCTGCCCACCAAGTCTTTTATATATGCATATCTATTCTGTTTTGCTCTGTGCATATTAAAACCAAATTATTATTATGTCATAGGTATACGTGATTCCCCTTAAATACTGTTTCCTAACCAATGATTCTTAGATTTATAGGGGCTAGGATATGTGTCAGTGTAAGGCCTGCTTATTGCAATTGAGAGGGCCACCCACAGAATTCACTGTGACAGTATGGGAAATAACCCTTTGATTGGAAGTATTACCAACTTATTCATTATGCTTAACAAATCCTTCTCTTGTACTGATGCTTTTTTTTTACTAAAAACTCAACATGTTTAGACATTGACACATGCATGTAAAATTAAATAAATGTTAAAACATTATGTGCATTGATATTGTTTTATAACATAGCTTTAGTGATTGGATTAGTCCCCATTTACCTAGAAGTACTTCTCCTTTATCAAAGTGCCAATCCAAATCTTTTAACCATCTGGCCTAACTCTGACAATGAAAGTTGTTACTTATGCATACTTGCATATTAGAAGCACATCACCAATAGAAATGCATGTAAAACAAAAGTCACATGTATTGCATACTGAATCATTAAAATATTGATTATTTTAACTATAGAAACCTCTCTACAGTTTAGGTAAGCCCATGTGCTACTGATAAGAGTAAATATGCTATATGTTACACATGTTGGTTTATTGCTTGATTGCTTGGTTGTAGGTTTGGAATGCAATGTAAAACGGAATGCCATTATACTGATATAATTATCCAATTGTATTTTTTTTTTTTTTGCAGTTATTTGATTACATCGCAGAGTGTCTTGCTAATTTCATTGGAAAACAGGGATTGAAGGACAGAGCACTTCCACTTGGATTCACATTTTCGTTTCCGTGTCAACAAAAAGGTTTGGCATCAGGTGAGGATTGGTCAAACTAATACATGTGAATTTGGTGGTTGTCTAGCAATGTACAAAATATGATTATTCATGGCAAATATTCTCTGCTATCCCTCTTACATGGACATGATGCTGGTTAAAGTTATTCCTTTAATAGGAAACAAGTACATTATAAGTTTGTTTTTCTTTGCTAGCCACTCTGACAATGTGGACTAAAGGTTTCAAAGCCTCAGGAGTGGAAGGTAAAGACGTTTGTGTACTTCTGTATGAAGCTGTCAAACGTAGAGGGGTAAGCTTTTTACATTGTTCATGATATGAAGTAATCAGTGTCAATCATCTTATGTCTTTTATGAACGTGTAGACATATTCATATGCATCATAATACATGGACAAGTTTTTAGTGCATGATGGTATAGGTAGAAATTACTGGATTGGGTTTGTCTGTGCATTCTTTGTATTAGGGAACATTTATGCTGTGCATGATTATTATAATGAAAGAACAAGTAAGACCCTGGTATTACCGGGTGGTCAAGGTTCTAGTATAATCTGTTGTTGGACCAAGTGGTCAAGATTCTAGTATCATCTCTTGTTGGACCAAGTGGTCAAGATTCTAGTATCATCTCTTGTTGGACCAAGTGGTCAAGATTCTAGTGTCATCTCTTGTTGGACCAAGTGGTCAAGATTCTAGTATCATCTCTTGTTGGACCAAGTGGTCAAGATTCTAGTGTCATCTCTTGTTGGACCAAGTGGTCAAGATTCTAGTATCATCTCTTGTTGGACCAAGTGGTCAAGATTCTAGTATCATCTCTTGTTGGACCAAGTGGTCAAGATTCTAGTATCATCTCTTGTTGGACCAAGTGGTCAAGATTCTAGTGTCATCTGTTGTTGACCCAAGTGGTCAAAATTTTAGTATCATATGTTATTGACCCAAGTGGTCAAGATTTTAGTATCGTATGTTATTGGACCAAGTGGTCAAAGTTCTAGTATCATCTGTTGTTGAACCAAGTGGTCAATATTTTAGTATCATATGTTATTGGACCAAGTGGTCAAGGTTCTAGTATCATCTGTTATTGGACCAAGTGGTCAAGGTTCTAGTATCATATGTTGTTGGACCAAGTGGTCAAAGTTCTAGTGTCATCTGTTGTTGAACCAAGTGGTCAAGGTTCTAGTATCATCTGTTGTTGAACCAAGTGGTCAATATTTTAGTATCATATGTTATTGGACCAAGTGGTCAAGGTTCTAGTATCATCTGTTATTGGACCAAGTGGTCAAGGTTCTAGTATCATATGTTATTGGACCAAGTGGTCAAAGTTCTAGTGTCATCTGTTGTTGAACCAAGTGGTCAAGGTTCTAGTATCATCTGTTAATTGTTGAACCAAGTGGTCAATATTTTAGTATCATCTGTTGTTGAACCAAGTGGTCAATATTTTAGTATCATATGTTATTGGACCAAGTGGTCAAGGTTCTAGTATCATATGTTGTTGGTCCAAGCGGTGGTGACCTTTGGTGCTGTCATCATGTTTTTACATGATTTGGTATTCTTTCATAGGCTAAAGGTTAAGATATGCAAATTTATTGTTGGCGGAACAGGAATTGTATATAGTAAAAGTTTTGGTAGAGAAGCAGAGAAAAAAATAGAGGCATCTGGGGTAACAAACTTTTCTATTGTGAGACGTATTGTGGTTGGGGGGGGGGGGGGGCTACATGTGAGTACATAATGTTGGCTAAAGAATTCCTTTCCATAGTGGATTCAAATTGATTGACACAAAGAATTTTTCAATAAATTTTATGACACAATTCTAAATTATACTGCTTTGTGACCCGATAATAGTGCAGAATCAGTGTTTTTTTGCTATTCATTTTCAGGATATTTTACTTGATGTGATTGCAGTGGTCAATGATACAACTGGAACACTCATGTCTTGTGCGCATGCATTTCCTGATTGTGTTGTAGGTCTCATACTTGGTAAGTTACCAGGCATTGCCAATAAACATCTCATAAAAACAAATAAAAAAAATTTAACGAACCACATATTTTCAAAACTAACCCAAATAAAATAAAAATGACATTGTGGGCAGTTGGTTATATGGCTAGAATAGACCTTTTTGAGGATAGCATTGCTTTCAGCCAAACTGGTAAATTATGATGAATTGTGGGTATTTTTTTCAGACAAACTAGTGCAAGCAATAACAAACACATTAGACTTTCCCCAAAATGTACCCATACACTTTTATAATAGAACAGTAATTTGGCTGTAATAGCATTATCCTCATAAAGTGAGTTAGCAAGTCATTATATTGCCTATTGTGGCTGATTATTTCACGTCCTGAAACTGACTGGCGCATAGTGTAGAAAGACATAAACCTGGAACTTGTGTGACAAGCACAAACTATATTCTGAAACGTACAGACAACACGAGACGATCATGTACAAAAGTGCTTCTTGTCAAATGCTTTCTTTTTATTCATGAACCAAATGTAATATTATAAGGAAATAGTCCAATTTAACTACTCAGATGATACATAATGTCATGGCATTTAGGATTTAGAAATGAAAACTATTTTTTTATAACATTTGATTAGTTCTTAATTTTCAATGAATATATTTTGTTTGTTTCAAAAGGAACTGGTACCAATGCATGCTATATTGAAAAACTTGAGAATGTTGAAACCTGGGATGGTGACACTGATCCCCCTAAGCAAGTGTTAATTAACATGGAATGGGGTGCATTTGGTGATGATGGAGTACTTGATGACTTGAGAACAGAGTATGACGAGTCAATTGATAAGAAAACACACAATGTGGGAAAACAAAAGTGAGTACACAAATTCCTATTTTTGGTGAGATGGCTTGTTGATTATTAACCACCAAAAGACATATGTGTTTCAGAATATACCGTAGTTTGTGCCTGTCACACATGTTCCGGGGTAGCCCTGCGTACTGTGCTGTGTGTACGGGGACGCGTTCGGTTGATAGATGTCCCCACCACAGCCCTGCGTACCTCCATAGACAAAGTCCGGGACTTTGAAAAATATAATTTTTTTAATGAAATAATATGCCCAGGTACCAAAAATGATGAT